ATATAATATTACATGTGCAAATAAAGTGAAAAAATCCAATTATTAAATGATATATAAAATTTTATGAAAAAATTATAAAAAAAAATATATGTTTCTCAATCAATTTCCATTTAAAAATCAATAAATAATCATTTACATGAAACTTATATCAAATATTCAAGTAGAGAAATTTTAGTTCTTCCCATTTTTAAATGGATATAACTTGCACAATTTAACTGCATGCTGAAGTAAAACTTTTTGTTAACTATGGATCTTTGCCTACGCACAGAATTCTGTCCTTAAATAAGAAGACTAAGAATTTCTTGCTTGTTTGACAGTTACGGGTTGGATGATTCCTTTTGTTTTCTTAATTTTTCTTTGGATTATTATTATTATTATTATTTGAATTGGTGAAAGAATATTCTTGAAAATATTTTAAAAGTGATTTGATTTCACACCATCTCTAGCTAATTTAAATTTTTATACTAATATATATTACATATTGATGAAATATTTTTTCATTCATCAAAAAATCAAGGCTTTTTTATTTTTTTTTTAAAATCAACATCAATTCCATTTGCTTAATTTTATTTAGAGTAACACCGTGGGTCACGGGTCGCCTACGTGTACTCCAATTAACTTCATTTACTATATATGATAATAATATGATATACTTTGGAAAAACAACCTCTTTTTTTTTTTTTTTTGGCAAATTTAATGGTTTAATTAAGTGTCGGTGGAAAAACAAAAACCCATATAAAAGTACTTAACCATCATAGATTTGGTCTAACATTGATTAACAAATGAAGACAATGGTGGATGTCCAACTCAGGTGATCAATTGGGTTGACAAGACCATAGTCTAAGAGGGCCAGAGACTAATTATTATTAACTTAACTAAATAATTATTAAAATTAGTAGTCATTTGGAGTACGCTGCCACTAAGATATACTTAGAAAAATTTTATCACATTTAATTTAGTTGTTTACAGTTAATTCGATGCTTAATCTCGTACATGCAGTAGAGGAAAATCTTGCAAGGATCATGCGTAGGAATATTATAAACATCAATAGGGAAAGAATAAGTAGTTGTTGTCTAGAATCCAGCTAGCTTAATTCTTTTTCATTTATAAATAATTACTGTACTCAAGAAAGTTCCCTTTGCAACCATCATTAGTGGGCAGTGCATGTCAACATTAATCTAGAAAGAGAATCATAATATACATTAAAACTTGTTTAATTTAAGGCCAATCTCTCGAGTTAATTAATTAATCATGATCAAATTAAACCTTTTCTTAAATAAACAGAGGATCATTCGTTGAGGTGTGATTACATTAAGCACCGAATGCATACATTATATGTTGGAAAGGATTTAAGATCAGATTTGTTAAATGAATGCAGCATTATATATCAAAGTGGTCGGTTATTTATAGAATTAAGAATGGTTTAGAGTTATCTAAAACAATGGGTAGTGTTGATTATTAAACTATCCTACATATCGAACCTAGCTATAACTTTTGAAAATAATTTCCCTTAACTATCAAGGCAACTAGGCAGTTTAATTAGTT